TCTTTTTTTTTTTTAATGTTTATTTATTTATTTTGAGAGGGAAAGAAAGAGAGCATGAACAGGCAGGGGCAGAGAGAGAGAGGGAGGGAGGGAGAGAGAATCTCAGACAGGCTCCGCACTGTCAGCACAGGGCCTGACGTGGGCTTTGAACACACGAACGGCGACATCATGATGTGAGCTGAAATCGAGAGTCGGATGCTCAACCGACTGAGCCACCCCGGCGCCCCATCAAAGGCACTTCTTTGCTGACCTCGAATACGTGACGTTTCGAGGTTTCATCTTCCACGACTTGGGTTGGTTTTAACTTCTCCCTAACTCTGGGCAACTTGCCCCAAACTCCAGTTTCCTTGTTCGGAGATGGGTTGCAATGATAAAAATACACAGAATCATCTCTAGCTGAGTGCCTCTAGTGTCTTTGCCCCCGTGACTCTGTGTTCAGTTGGGCAAGACAAGTGCCTTTGTTCTCTTTTGTCTCCCCCTGCTGACCCCAACAGTGCTATGTTGTCTCATGTCACTCTGACCCCAGGACAGCCTGTCAAACCTTCACTGGGTCAGCACCTTCCTGGTCCTGTTCAGCCCGGGGGTTGGAGCCAGCCCACGAGACTCATTTCTGTGCCAGCCCGATAGGTCTCCAGCTGCTCATATTCTCCCGTTCTTATTAGAGCCTTGTCTCCACACTCCATTACCTTCACCTCCACGGAAAGGGACCCAGCTCAGACTGCAGCAGCTGTTAACGCTACGACCAAAAGCGCTCTGTCGTGTCTTCTGCAGGGTGGGGCTGGCTGGGGTGTCAGCTTCCGTAAAGGAACCCGTGATCAGTAGCTGCCAGCACTTGGCTGCTCTGGAGGGTGGAGTGGGACAGGTGGCTGGAGGGCAGAAAGCCCACCTTCAAGGCCACTGTCTCACCGAACTGTGTTAGAAATGATCAGAAACGTTGGGGCACCCAGGTGGTTCAGTCGATTAAGCATCTGACTTCAGCTCAGGTCGTGATTTCACAGTTCGTGCATTTGAGCCCCTCGTCAGGCTCTGTGCTGATAGCTCAGAGCCTGGAGCCTGCTTCAGGTTCTATGCCTCTCTCTCTTTCTCTCCCCCTCCCCAACTTGCACATTCTCTCTCTCTCTCCCTCTCTCTCTCTCTCTCTCAAAAATAAATAAACATTTAACAAAAATGATCAGAAACACTTTCTTGGCTACTACAAGCCAACTTGGGTATCCAGGGCAGATCTTCTACTGACACGAATAGTCCCTCAACCCAGATCCCCTCTTTACTGGAGCCACCAAACTACATGGAGGCTCTGCTCAGGATGTGTGTGTGCTTCTGTGCGTGCATGTTTGTGCATGTGTGTGCACGTGTGCATGTACATGGGTGGGTATATGCATGCATGTATCCGCGTGCACACATGTTTGTGCATGTGTGTGCATGTGTGTGCATATGCGGGTGGGTGTGTGCATGTATGTGCATGCACACGTCTTTACATGTGTATGCGCATGTGCACATATGCAGGTGGGTATGTGCACACATACATGTATGTGTGTGCAAACATGTTTTTACATGTGTATGCACGTGTGCACATATGTGGGTGGGTATATGCATGTCTGTGTGCGTGCATGTTTGTACATGTGTGTGCACGTGTGCACATATGCGGGTGGGCACGCTTGTGGGAACCTTTGTGTTTACCACCAATCCCACTGCCCAAGAAAGCAGCAACAATTTTTCAAAACACTACAACAAATGGGTTTGGATACACTTTCTTTTTTTAAAGGTCATTAAAATGTCTTGTCCTACTTTGGGAAATGTGGTTAAGACTCATATAGCTTGTGATTGATGAGATACTACAGACTTAAAGAAATGCCTTCTTTTCAGTCTTAGAAACTCACTGGTTAGGGCACAGGTGAACACAGCTTCCCAAAACAAAGATACTTTCTTGAATATTCAGATAAAATCGTAATATTCAAAGGCTCCTGTGGGGGTGCCTGGGCGGCTCAGGAGGTTAAGCGTCCCCCTTCAGCTCAGGTCACGATCTCACGAGCCCCACATTGGGCTCTGTGCTGACAGCTCAGAGCCTGGAGCCTGCTTTGGCTCCTGTGTCTCCCTCTTTCTCTGCCTTTCCCCCGCTTATGCACTCTCTTTCTCTCAAAAATAAATAAACATCTAAAAAATTAAAAAAAAAATAATTGCATTCTCTTATCAGTCTGCTTGGTTGGAAATCCGAGCCCCTTACTGCCCACTAACTGTACTGAGTTCTCCAGGGCAACATGAGTCTGGTCCAGACACAAGTGAGAACCATCCTGACTGGCTCTGGAGCCAGGACTGCTGTGACCATGGCCCAAGCCCTCTCCATGCCACAGAAGCTCCCACCTCTGAGATTCTGGCCAGTCCCCTCCAGAACCCCAAACAGTCCCTTTCCCTCTGCCCTGAATCTCGACAGGTATCTGTGGAAAGTACTGAGTTATTACAGCTAACGTGCTCAGAAACGTACCTGGCACTAAATGTTAACCATTGCTCAAATCTGATTACTGACATTTTTATTATTACAAATCAAAATTATAAAAACATAGAATGTGTTCATTATTATTATGTTTACTATTATGGGTCCTTTTATTCCTGGAAGTCCACACACGTTGCTCTGTCAAGAACGTGAAATGTGCCTTCCCCACCTACCATGCTGCACCTCCCTGGGATGCCCAAAGCCTTTGGGAATCCAGATAATTTGGGTGTTTCCACAAGATGGCACAATTGAAGAACTCAGAGCTGTTCTTTGTTTTCATTTTCTGTCTTAGTGAAACATGTGTGATGTTTAAGTGTAGCAGAACAAACAGGACCGTGACTCGCATCTCAATTTAAACATCTGATTTCATGCTCTCTTGACAATTATGCCACAATTCCTACAGCTATAATTTTTTTCCTACTAAGAAGCTCCCCGCTCTTGCTTCTGCCTACATAATGCCCTGCTGGCTCCAAACCCCACCTGATGTTTTGTATACTATGTCTAAGTCCTGGCCTGAGCCATCTCCTATCAGCCTTCACCCAAATCGAGGTTCCCATCTACCCCCTTCTGTACCTCTGTGTTTGAGAGCTGGAACCACGGCTGCTTTCCGTAGGTGAAGATCTCCCACAGGATCACCCCAAAGCTCCACACATCGCTCTCCGTAGTGAACTTCCGGTACATGATGCTTTCAGGGGGCATCCAACGGATGGGGAGCATGGTGTGTCCTCCCACCTAAAAGGGGTCAAGACAGAGGGACACACAGAGTGACCAGATGACCAGAGTCGGTCATGCCTGTCTGCACTCTTTATATGTAGATGTGCTCTGCATGCCTCTTATTCTAAGATAGCCACACCTTGATGCAACTTGTCTCAGAGGCCCAGTGGGGCCCTGACATCCAAGATCTACACACTGGAGGCAGCTGGAGTAGCAACTAGAGATAACCCCTAAAGGAAAGTGGGTTCCTTGACACAGAGCGTAAAGAAAGACCCCAAGATGATTCGGGGTGGGAGAGGTTTTAGAATCTGGTACTAGAGCGAACCTAACCTTGAAAGGAGGTCCACGGGAAGTCAGCAGAGTCACTGAGGGAGGCCGTCAAGTACAGGAGTATTTAGGCAGCAGGTTAAACTCCTTGGCCACGGCGGTTAAAGCACAACATTATTCATGTGCATCTAACCTGCAGAACTATGACTTTACCTCCTACCTGATGATCCTGTATTTCTCATCGCAACTTAAGACTCAGTGTTTCAAGTGAAGGGGACAGGGAAGTTCCAAATGTGTGGAAGCCACTTGCTAATAAGAAATCAGGTGGACTGAAAGAGAATGTATGACAGTTCTTAGTGACATCTCAAAGTCCAGTAAGAAAAGTGTCTTTTAAAATCTAAGGGAGGGTGCCTGGGCGGCTCAGATGGTTAAGCATCTGACTCTTCATTTCGGCTCAGGTCATGATCTCACGGTTCATGAGACTGGGCCGCACACTGGGCTCTGCACTGTCAGTGAAGAGCCTGCTTGGGATTCTCTCCCTTTCTCTCTGTCCCTCCCCCACTAGCACACTAGCATACCACATGTGCCTGCACTTTCCCTCTCTCTCTCCCTCTCTCTCTCTCTCTCAAAAATAAATAACCATTTTAAATAGCCTAAGAAGACCCACCCGTGGGTCTACAGATTTGACAGTCAAGGACAAGAGGAAGTGACTGACATTCAGGGTACCCTTTCCTGAGAAAACATTAGGGAAATCCTCATGGACCAGCAGGCTAGATGTACGGTTTAAGTATAAGACAATCCACAGCTTGTTTTAGAACTCAGAAACTAACTGTATCCTTAGTAAATACAACATCAGAAACGGGGACTTTTGGCTAATACATAGAATGTGTTGTTAGGAAAGTGCTTGCCATTGATAGAAAGAGCTCTCTATAAATGTCCCGATGAACTATTAATCAGAATTTCTTGTTCTTACAGTGGGCCAGTTGGAGGTATAACAATAATGGACATTTAGGAAAGAATGACTTATTGGAAAGTGGGCACTCTTACGTCTAAAGAGGAAAATGATGTTTGCCTTATCTACTTGAAATATTTTAGAACATAAATGATTATAAGGATTTGCAGGCACTATTTTCAACCTGGGATTTTATAACCAAGATAGCTCTGTGTCGTGTGTAAAGACAAACGAGGGTGTTTCTTTCAGACAAGAAAAGACTCAGAAAGTTGATCCCTCTTGGTTTTTCAGAAAATAAAGACGAGAAAATTAACTGAGGATTATTCCAGAAAAACAGGGGGAAAATAATCTAAACTAGACAATGACTTGGAACATAACAAATACAGTACAGCAAATAAGTCACACACACAAAAAATGCAATTTAAATCTAAATAATGGTTGGGGAGCCTGGGTGGCTCAGATGGTTGAGCATCAGACTCTTGATTTCACCCCAGGTCATGATCCCAGGGGTCGTGGGATCCAGGCCTGTGTCAGGAGACTGCTTGAGACTCTCTCTCTCTCTCTCTCTCTCTCTCTCTTTCTCTCTCACTCTCTCCGTCTCCCTCTGCCCCATCCCTGCTCTCATTGTCTCTCACTTTCTAAAATTAAAAACAAAAATCTAAATAATGGTTGCTAATCTGATAGTAAAATGTAATATAATGACTAATAAAGTCTTCCAGTAAAATAGAGACATAAAGTAAATAATAATACTAATCATGCTAAGAGTACTACCATTGCTACCATTAACAGTACTTATCTGGAATGAAATCTCCAGATAATTTCACATAAGTACATAGAAGAGTAGGAAGATAAATCATTAAAGCCTGACAAAGGCTTTGTCTTTTTGGGAGGGAAAGGGAGCAGGTAGACAGTCATCAATTGTTGATTACAACGGTTTCAATTTAAATTTCCTTGCTAAAATTTTTAAGTGGCTCTTAGAAGAATAGAAATAGTACATACAGCTTTCAAACCAGTTGTTAGAAAAAAGAACCAAAAATCTCTGGCCGATACCAAAAAGGCTACAAAAAAGAGGAATGGGATAATGATGTGGCACAAAATGAAAAAGAAGTTTAAATAATACCGCTATAGACACTAAATACAAAAGGGTTGCACTGCCTCTTAAATAAGAGAAAAATTATGTTAAAAAATCAAGATGTGTGTTATTTAGAAAAGACATACATAGAAGAAAGTAACAGAAAATATTAGAAATGAAAGAATGCAAAAATACAGTAAAAATAAAAAAGGAATATATATTAAATATGCTAATATTAAAATATAATATAAAATATATTAAATCATATACACACAATATATTATTAAATGTAAAATATTGAATATTAAATATACATTTAAATGTAAAATATTGAAAATTAGACATGTGTGGGAAAAAATTTAGAATGCCAAGAATTAAATAAAGAGAAAGTAGTTTATATCATATTTCAAGATGGCAAAATTCACCATTATGATAATTATGACTTATTAGGCTCCAAGTAACATAGCAACAAAAATGTACAAAGAGTAAAAATAGGATATAAGCAAAAGGAAGCTGACAAAACTACCATTATAATGGAAAATCAAAACACTTCTTTCACAAATAGATCAAGAGGACGAGATAAATGAAGATATGTTTAAAAATGCAGATGAGTATGTTAACTAACTAAAATTTAAAATAAAAAATGGAGATGAGTTTTAATTGATAGATATGACTATTATGATTGTCTTTCTGCCTCCCTAAAAAAGCTGGAACATTATTTTCAATTATCTGAAACAATTTATAAAACCAATCACATATTATACCTCAAAAGAAATCTGAAATTCCAAAAGAAAAAACACAGTACATAAGAAACAATACACATTAAAAAAATGGGGTGCCTGGATGGCTCATTCAGTTAAGCATCCAACTCTTGATTTCAGTTCAGGTCATAATCTCATGGTTCGTGGGTTCAAGTCCCACATCTGGCTCTGTGCTGACAGCAGGGAGCCTGCATGGGATTCTCTGCCCCTCCCCTGCTCTCTCTTTCTCTCGCTCTCAAAAATAAAGAAATATATGTTAGGGGCGCCTGGGTGGCTCAGTCGGTTAGGCATCCGACTTCAGCTCAGGTCACAATCTCGTGGTTTGTGAGTTCAAGCCCCGCATCCGGCTCTGTGCTGACAGCTCGGAGCTTGGAGCCTGCTTCGGATTCTGTGTCTCCCTCTCTCTCTGCCCCTCCCCTGCTCATGCTCTGTCTCTCTCTGTCTCAAAAATAAATAAAACATTTTTACAAATTAAAAAAAAAAGAAATATATATTTAAAAAAAAAGAAACATTTTCTGTACCAAATAGGAATTAACAACAAAAGAATAACTTTTTAAAAAGTTTCTCTTTGGGCAATTACAAAACAATTTGATAATGGAATAACTGAAAATTAAATGTAAAATTATTTATTATGATAACAATTAAGTGTGTGTTCATTGAAGCCTATGAAATATAGCTCAAGTAATTTTTAAAAAATACAGCATTTAAGCACTTATTTTTAAAATAGTTAAAAATATAATTAAATTAAAATTTAAAATGTGATTCCACAACAAAAGTAGTAAAGACCTACATGATCATAGAAAGCAAGAGGAAATAAATAACAAAGATAAAATGAGGAATTGTATAAAAGAAGGCAAAGTAAAACAATAACCAAAAGGGGGAAAAATGTAAAAAGGAGACTATATCTTTACAATTAATTGCTAGTTCTGTCAAAATAATATAAACCTTTGGCAAGGTTAATAAGAGCTATAGAGAAGACAAATGTAAAATGTTAAAAATATTACAACAAGAAATTTGGAAATATAGATGCCATAATTGAGTTTCTAGAAAAGGTTAGTGAAAAAAAAAAAAGAAAAGTAGAGAATCTAAACACAAAACAATTACAATTATAGTAAAAATTCTATACAGTAAAAATGTACAAGGGCCAAGTGGTTTTTTGGGGTAAGTTCTAAAATTTTTTATCCTATTTATACTTTTCCAAAGCAAAAAATAAAAAATAAAAAAGTAGAAACTTTCCCAGTTCATTTTCTGTAACTTGAATATTCCTGATGATAAAATCAATCAGTCAAACATAGCATACAGCCTTAAATATATGAATACAGACATAGATATTTTATCTATATATGTGTAAAGTTATGTTATAAATATAGCCTCCAAATATGAATAATGTTATATTGAATCAGCAAGATATTACAAGAATTCCATATTATAACTCAATAAGATTTATAATAGAAATGCAAGGATGCCTTAGTCTTAAGAAGTCTACTGTTTAATCAGTAAATTAAAAGATAAAAGAAAAGCCGTAATTTCAAAAGATGCCAAAAATTTCCAACACATTTACCTGATTAAATGTCCAAATTCATTAGTAATAGAAGGTAACTTCCTTTATTTAACTTACTAAATATTATATGTACTAATAAAATGTTAGAAGCATACAAAGTATCTTCTGTCACTAATTTTATGCAATACTATTTGGGTGGTCCCAACCAATGCAATAAAGCAAGAAAAAAAGCAAGGCAGAAACACTGAAGAGTCAAAGCTGCCAATGCATGCGTATGGTAAGATTATTCAAGGCATTTAATTAAAAAGCAATTCGAATCATTACATGATTTCGTAAGCTACCCATTTATAAAATGAACCTACCAAGATCAAACTACCCTCATATACCCGTAGTAATAAATTTAATAGAAAATAAGTTGCTTAATAGTACAAAAAAGCTTAATTCCCAGGCATAAACCTAGCCAGAAAATGTACAAAGTCTACTTAAAGAAAAGTATTGAAAAACATAAAAGAAGATCTGAAATGTGGAAAGGTATGTCATTTCCTTGAATAGGAAGACAATATCATAAATCTCTCATTCCTACCTCAAATTAGTCTGCAAATTCAACACAATCTAAATGAAAACTCCCAATGGAATGATGTATGGAAATTGACAGGATGATACCAAAATTTGTCTAGAAGAATAAATACTTGATAAAAGCTAAAATACACTTGAAATAGAACAACAAGGGAGATTTACTCTATCGGATTGCAAAACATATTATCAAACTACAGGAATGAACACACAGTGTTATTAGCATAGAAATAGACAAATTTCATTGATCAATGGAACAAAACAGGGTCCAGAAGCAGACCCATGTATAATATTGGAATTTAATATATGAAATGATGGGTTAGTAGTCAAAGTGTTGGGACAATGAACTATTCATTTGAAAAGTACACTTAGATACCTACCTCACACCATATACAAAAATCATTTCCAGATGGATTAAAGAGCTAAACATAAAAACAAAACAATAATAATATTAGAAGAAAACTTAGAAAAGTATCTGTATAACTCAGGAGAAGAAGCCCTTCCTAAATATGACACATGTTCAAGAAGCCATAAAAGATAAGATTTAGTGATACAACTTATAAAAACCAAACACTTTTTCATGGCAAAATACGAAATAAGCATAGTTAAAAGACAAATGACAGAGAAAATATTCGCAATATATGTAACAAAGGATTAAAATTCATATATTATAAAGTGTTCCTTTAAATTAGTTTTAAAACAGCAACCTGACCAAAAAAAAAAAAAAAATGAGTAAAGGATAAGGGCAGATGGTCCACAAAAGGGTTACAAATGAGCACAGACATATGAAGAGACGTTAATTAAAACAATAAAGAGACACACTTTTGAATGTTATATGGGAAAAATTGAAAAGATTGAAACTATCTAGTGCTTGAAAAGGTACGAGGATAGAGTTATTCTGAAGGGTCACTGCTAAGACTTGGTGCAGCCTTGTCCGCAGGCAGCTTGGCAGAATCTGTCTACACTACAGATGTTGAGTGACTTTTAAGGCAGTAATTTCACCTCTAAGGAGCCTTAGAAAAATACTTGGTCCTATAAGCAAAAACTATTGGTTGAAGGGGATTTTTATTTCATTGTTTTTAAGGGCAACAATTTGCCCATCATTATACATAGATATGTAGTGGTTAAAAGGAATATAGGAGAGTATGTGCAGTGATGTGTAAACAGGTCTAGGATACATTAAAGGAAAACACAAGACTATATATATATATATATGTAATATATATACATATACATATATATATTAGCATTCTTATTTATGTAAAAATGTGTCATACATAAGCAAGTACATTAAAAGGGAATAATGTGTAAGTCTGTAAATGCATAGAAAATGATCCAGAAATATAGTCTAGAGAAGGAAGCGAGAGTGAGCACTGACCAAAGAGAAATCCCACTTTTTCACTATATGTATTTCTATACTGTTTGTAATTTTATCCAATCATGTATCACATTTGAAATGTTTAAAAATAATAAAAGGAAAAACTAAACACCTGAATGAAGGAAAACCAGTAGACCTAATTTACATAAGTTCTGATTCAAAAGGTAGTTTTTTTTAATGTTTTTTAACATTTATTTGTTTTTGAAAGATAGAGAGACGCAGTGCAAGCAGGGAAGGGGCAGAGAGAGAAGGAAACACAGAATCTGAAGCAGGCTCCAGGCTCTGAGCCATCAGCACAGAGCGTGACGCGGGACTCGAACCCATGAACCAACCATGAGATCATGACCTAAGCTGAAGTCGGATGCTCAACTGACTGAGCCACCCAGGTGCCCCTAGAAGGTGATGTTCTTTTAAAGAAAAATTATGTCTGTGATAGAATCTTGTGGAATGGTTTATTTTACCTGGTTTCTTGATGGAAAAAAAAAAGTCAGGAATACAGAAACATCCCTTTTGATGCAAATTTTTAAGTGATGGATTCCTTCAAATTGATGCTGATTGTTTGCTTCATTTAATGATTTTATACACAATCCAGAAGAGGTGTTCCAGACTGAAATCTCCCAATTTACAAAGAGGGAGGAATTCAAGTGTGCTGATATAAACTCTGATGAACTTAAGTGTTTGGGAATAAAAGTATTAGAAGAGTATTAATTGGCTGCAGGGACTTCACGAAGAAAAATTGTATCAAGATTTTTACCACCAATGTGAGAGAAATTTATAAGGCATTCCTCTGGAAGTGAACTAAAATATTTCAAGAGGCCAGTAACATAACAAAAAGAGCAATAAATTGGAAGTCAGAAGCCCTGGGTTGTGATGTGACCTTAGACAAGCACTCAACCTCTGAGTTTCAACGTCCTCATCTTCAACACAGGAGTGAAACATCTCCTGCCTCCAGTGAGATCATGTATGTAAAAACCCGCCAAGTATCATTAAATCCAAAAGTATACACATAAAGTGCAATGACTGTTCACTGTGTGTGTCCTTACATGCTTGAGAACAGCATAACAAACCTAATTTCCTGGTTTCCATATTCCCCATAAAGATTTACCTGGCCAACACTGATTTTTCCCCCAGGACTATCTACATCCTTCTCCCACGCTGGAGAAATCTAGTCTGGGAAAGGTAGTGGTTAAATCCTTCGCTGATGAAAAAATAATAATAAAAAATATATATTTACATTTATTCATAAATATATATGAATATAAATATGATATAGATATATATTTATATTTATTCACAGGGGTGCCTGGGTGGCTCAGTCAGTCTGACTTTTGGTTTCAGCTCAGATCATGATCTCAGTTTCACGAGTTCAAGCCCCGCATAGGACTCTATGCTGGCAGCCTGGAGTCTGCTTGGGAGTTTCTCCCTCTCTCTCTCTGCCCTTCCCCAACTCACGCTGTCTCTCTCTCAAAATAAATACATAAACTTAAAAAAGCTGACAAGTATTCCTAGGGTAAAACCTATCCAGACAAGCGATAGGCTGAAATAATAATCTTCATATCAGTAATATCAATTAATACACACTGAGTACCAGCCATACATCCCTCATTTAATCCTCTCTCCCTTCCTATAGGATAGAATTCCCTATTCCTCCCTTTTCACAGATGAAGATAATATAACTTGCCTAGGCACTGCCTGAGAAATACTAGCTAATGATCCAAACTATCAGATACGTTAAAGGTCTGAAGGCTGAGCTTTGAAACGGGAAACGTACAGGAATAAGGCAAAGATTCCAAGAACTGATTCTAGAAAGAAAATATGTACTTAGAGATCTTTGGATTATACTACGTTAGAGGACATTTCCACCACCTATATTATCATGGATTCCCATGTTGCCAGCCTGATCATCTGTAACGTCCTCTTTCACCCGAGGGTACAAGCAGGCACTGAAGATTACTTACTGCCCGGACCCATGATTTCATTAGGGGCTACAAAAGCGTGGAGTTCTAGCATTCCCTCTGCATGTATCAGCTGGGCATCTTCTATAAATAAAAAAGTTCCCTCATTAACTATTTGGTTATACTAATAACACTTCGTTTAGGAAATGTTCAGTTCTCTCCCTTATTATCAGCGCTCAGAATAATGAATTCGTTCCCTAGCATCCTCCAAAGGTGACCAACAAGAGGTTTGGCTTGATTCTGGGAAGCATGAAATTCGATTCATGTTGGGGTGGGGGTGGGGGTGTGGCTGTGAGTGTGTAGACAGGGGTGTCTTTTAACCCGATGAAGAGTCTCAGTTTATTATGATTGCTCTTTTTGATGCTTACTGTTCCATCTTTGGCCAGTGGCAGCCTCTTAATGTTGGTGCCTCTCGCATACCCCGGGCCTTGCTTCTGACATTAAATACTATTGGAGACTCCGGGCGTCTGGGTGGCTCAGTCGGTTGAGCGTCCGACTTCAGCTCAGGTCATGATCTCACGGTTCGTGGGTTCGAGCCCTGCATCGGGCTCTGTGCTGACAGCTCAGAGCCTGGAGCCTGCTTTGAATCCTGTGTCTCCCTCTCTCTGCCCCTGCCCTGCTCACACTCTGTCTCTCTCTCTCTCAAAAATAAATCAACATCAAAATTTTTAAAGAAAATATTGTAGGCTCATATTGTACATTTGCTGCCCCAGCCCTAGAATAAACCATTTCTCCAAGAATCCCTGGATTCTTCTAGCGGACAATGGAATTTACAGACTACACTATGGACGCCAGGAGTGTGGTCATTGCTATTGGGTTGAGTTGCTCATTATTTCTAGGTGTCTATATTGGAAGTCGCTAGAAAAAAACTTTTCTATTAAAAGAAAATGCGTCATGAGTTCATATTGATTTTTCCAACTCAAATTTAGGATTACAGAGCTTTTACGTAACCTCTTCGATTTTATATCTATATTTTTTCTTATGCTGAAAATCTTGATTCCTATGTCAATAATATTATTTATTTGCTTTATCCTAATACATGTTCATATATAAAATAATGTAACATACTTAATGCACAGTTAGGTTTGTTTGTTTCACTTTGCTTTTTATTTTTGAGATTGCTTTAATCCTTAAAATGTAAATGTTTATAATGATGGTTTCAAGGTCAAAACCAATAAACAAGGTACATGAAATTTGAGTCTAATACCTCTCTATTCTCTCTCCCCATTCTGATCTCCTCTTTCCTATAGGTAACGACATCTTGTTTGCTTTTAGTTCATTCTTCTTTTAACATCAGAAAATACATATTACATCCATTTTCCATTTTCCTCACTCTCTTAGATACTCATTCTCAAAGTACCTGTTGTGTACTTTGCTTTTTTGTTTTGTTTTGTTTTTTGTTTGTTTGTTTATTTGTTTGTTGCTGGGATTCCCTTATTCCTTTTCTAGCTATGTAGGACTCCCCTTAGCATGACTATGCCACAGTCAGCCCCCTATAGATAGGACTTGGGTTTTTCCACCTTTTTGTTATTGTCAATAGGGAAGTGCACATTTTACATATATCTTGGGTGACTGTTCCCCCCACTAAAGAAGAACAGTCTAGAATTCCCATTCAGTGTAACAGGTGGTTTCAATCCAGGATCCACATGATTTTGGAGACAAGTAAAGTTTTTCCAGTGGGTACCCAGGCAAGAATCATTTTGAAGGATTCTGCAGATTGTAAACTCCCATATGGATTTTTTCTAACATTGACTGAGAAGCCTCTGTGGCCCAGCAAACCCTTTTCCCAATTGTGCACACACACACGCACACACGCACACACCTGCCACTCTCCAAAGGAAACACCAATCTCTCACTCATTCTAAATCTCAGGGGAGAAAACCTACCGAGTACAAACAAATAAACGCTATGAAATATTGGTACAGGTGCTGAAAATGAATGTCTCTAGTGGCTGGAAAATAAATCCTTTTGCACATCGAGTAGTTTCCAATTCTTTTCAAACAATTGAAGACGGACAGACCTAAAAGAATTATGAGCTAAGGAGAGATTTAAAAGAAATTTTGATAAGAGACCAATGTGAGATTTTAGG